CATCACAAAGTACCAAGTCCAGAAGGGATGGGCTATGGAGGGATTAGAGGAATCATGGAGCCAACAGGGACTTAGAGAGGAAGGCCTACACAGGCAGGCTGGGCAAGAAAATGCTGCAGAAATCTTAATCAGGCACTATAACACACAGTATCTTTGCTGTTTTTCAGCAAATGTTCTAGAGAGTCCAATAAATAGGGAAATAAGTTTTCTTAAAATTTTTAAAATGAGTTCTCTTCTCCCAGTCTCATTATCTACAGTTTATGGCCAAAGGCCCAGGAGGTACCTGTTCACTGAACCAGAAAGTATCTTTAACTTCTCTGAGCCTTGGTTTCTCTTTCTAATTTTATTTATTTATTTTTTCCCCCAAAGCCCCAGTAGATAGTTGTATGTCATAGCTGCACATCCTTCTAGTTGCTGTATGTGGGACGCGGCCTCAGCATGGCCGGAGAAGCAGTGCGTCGGTGCACGCCTGGGATCCGAACCCATGCCGCCAGCAGCGGAGCGCTCGCACTTAACCGCTAAGCCACGGGGCCGGCCCTTGGTTTCTCTTTCTATAAAATGAAAATAATACCTATGGCACAGGTAGCCATGAAGATTTCATGACACAATACATGTAAAATGCTTACCACACATGACATGCACACAGTAAGACCTCAATAAATGTTAGTTTCTATTAATAATAATACCACCATGTTCAAGAGATAGTGAGTTCCCCATTACAGGAGGTGATCAAGCACAGACTGGTGGGGAAGCTTCAGAGAGGACTCAAGCACTGGACATATAATTGGACTAAATGACCTTAAGGTCCCTTCCACTTCTGAGATTATGAGTCTCTTAAGAGAGCAGGAGCAAGGGAGAGGGCAAAAAGGCGAGAAGGAGAGAGAGAGAGACTGCTCTCCTACAGGCACGCACTTCCTGATATTTTTCTTTTTAGGGCAAAGGACTAATCTCTTGATCCCTTGTTTCTCAAATCCTTGAGCCTCATCCAAGAATGGTGGGTCCACCCCCATAGGGACTAGAGTTATAGCAGTGGTGACTGTGGCCTTATAATGACCCCTCATAATTCACAAAAAAATCTACCCACACTAGACTACTAGGCATTGGTTTAAAGAATAACAGTCATAATTCCTATTGCAAACTTGCAGTTAATCATGGCAGATTGAATACGTGCATTTATTGCTATTCCTCCCCAAAACTCTACCACGATGACAGTAAAGGAATAAAAAAAGATATAAAACCAAAAAGACAACAAGAGCAGAGGAGACAACAGCAGATAAGAGATGGTAACAACATTCTGGAAGATGAAAAAAGAACAGATGAGTAGTGACCAATCTGCAGAGCAGCAGGAGCTGATGCCTAAGTGCCTGTGAGGACGGGGGCCCAAAAAGAGCAGATCAATTTATGCTGCAGGTTCTCCAAAGGCTCAGGAACTGGCAGCACCAGGCACCTCTAAAAGTGGGAGTGCAGGGGGTGCTGGAAACAGGTGACTTATTTGAAAGTGCAAATAAAGAACAATTGGGCCCTGGCGTGCCCTGGTGTTCCCTCCCCCGGTTCTCACGGTCAAGCAACCACCCCCCTCCTGCCACAGCAAAGCCAGAGGGTTTACTCTCTGGAGGCGCCGAGAGAAGCCTGAACCTGGGACCCCAAGCTCAGCTAGGGGCAAAGTGGGCATGACGCAGAATATGAAGGGATTAAGTTAAAGCCAACCATGGCATGGTAAGTCCACCAGGACCTTCTCCAGCTCAGCTCCCAGAAGGCTGACGATGCCTTGCAAGCAAGAGACTAGGGAGTCCTCTTGAGGCAAAATGAGCAGCCCAGGAAAAACAGACTCAGGATCCTGAAGCAGGGACCCCAATGTAACCACCTAAGTACCCTTCAATGAAACCCACCCACTGATTCGAAGAGCTTCCCACCAGCTTCTTAGAGCTTTACTCTTAAATGTGAACGGACAGCCAAGGACCACCAGTGATTTGAGGAAAGCCCCTAACACGAAACAGAGTGTGACAGGAAAAAGGAGCTCAGAGGAACCGAGGAATGTTCAGGGCTACAGCAGGGATATCCCAAAAACTAAACACACACACACAAAACCACAGCTTCAGAAAAGGAAGATAACACATGTAGAAAAAAAGAAAAAGTATTTTAAAAAAAGAACACAGAACAAGAAATGCTTAAAAATGTTTTAAATTCAATAGAAGACAGAGACGTTAACATTGGAAAGTATGTCCCAGAAAACAGACAAAAAAGGAGATAAAACATAAGAAAATTAGGTCAATTCATGAGGTCCAACTTCTGACTAATAAAAATTCCAGAAAAAGAACAAAGAAAACAGAGGGGAGAAAATTATGAAATAGATAATTCAAAAACTTTTTCTAGAACTGAAGAGATCTTTAGATCAAAGTGTCCACCGCGTGGGAACAAAATGAATGAGAAAGGACTGACATCAACTACGTTATTGTACAACGCACATCACACACCAACCAAAGCAAACTATCCATGTGAGGACTCAAAACAAAACTTAATGATACAGACATGGGGCCAGCGCCGTGGCTTAGCAGTTAAGCGTGTGCACTCCGCTACTGGCGGCCCGGGTTCAGATCCCGGGCGTGCACCGACGCACAGCTTGTCCGGCCATGCTGAGGCGGCGTCCCACATACAGCAACTAGAAGGATGTGCAGCTATGACATACAACTATCTACTGGGGCTTTGGGGGAAAAAATAAATAAATAAATAAAATTATAAAGTTGAGAAACGAAGGATTAAGAGGATAAGCATATTATTTGGAAATATGGAGGTAATTAACAAAAGAAACAACTGTAAGAATTCTAAGTGGCTGCTTCTGGGGGCGGCAGGGGCAGAGGAGGACACTTCTTCCTCATAAGCCTGGATACTGTCTGAGTTTAAAAGCTATCAATAGGTGATGGATATGTTTATGGCACTGGTTGTGGTGATGGTCTCATGAGCGTGAGCGTATACTTATCTGCGAACTCATCAAGATGTTTACATTAAATATGTGCAGCTTTCTGTATGTCAATCATAGCTCAATAAAGTGGTTTGAAAAATAAAAATAAAGAAATAAAACTATAAAAATAAAACTCTGATAAAAATATTTTTAGAAAGAGGAAAAAAAAAAGAAAGATGACAAGTGGGCCAGAGGTGCAGTCAGCACACAAATGTCTGGTACAGTTGCTAAAGGGGTCAAAACATGTCCCACGATGACATGGACTTGGTTTTGCTTTCTTTTCCACTGCAAACTAATTTAAAAATTCCAACACCAAAGAGGGTTTCCTGCCTTTGCAGTTATCCCGGAGGACAGAGACCATCTCAGCTTTTGGCACAATTCTCCACAGAATGGAGAAACACGCAAAGACAAGGGTGGGGATTAAAAAAGAACTCCCTAATGATGAGGGCTCTCAAACTTTGGATCTGAGGGAGGCAGATCCAGTAGATCCTCTGGAGAGCTCTCCCAGCTCCAAGAATTCCAATTCTACCCAAACAGTGAAAGGCTGTCAGCAGACACTTCCATGAACCCCAGCACGCTTTAGGCTGGCCTTTGTCAAGCATCGGGTGGCTGAAGCTCCAGGCTAAACCCCAAAGGTTCTGTGTTCCTCTGTTTGGTAACTTTTTTCCTTCTTTTTGTCAGGATCAGGGTGACCAAAAGACTTAGGCCTCTCTCTTATATAGTCAGAATCACCAGAGCCCTGGACATTAACAGCTACCCACTTCCTGAAGATCCTTAGCAGTACAATCAAGAATTGTGTCCAAAATTCTGCCACTTCCCTGCCAAATGTAGCTGAATGAACAGCCAAAACATCTGCCTTCAACAGGAACTAACTCGGCACACCACTTAACCACTGAGCCAGCCCAGGAAGTGTCATCCTAGAGAGTAAAATTAATTCCCCACGGGGCTCCAGAGGAAGGAAGAGTTCCTGGGCCCAGTTTCTACCCGAGACCAGCACTGTGAAGTGGGAGCATCCGTGTAGCGTAGGGCACCATGGCACCCAGGCCTGGGTCTCACCTCAGACCCTGCTAGAGAGCCGGGCATGGCTGTGCAAAGCCACACCTGCTAGACACCCAGGCACCATGCCAACCCATCCAGGGCAAGGAGGGAGAAAGGGATGGCAGTTCTTATGAAACAGACCTTCCTGCCTTATTTTTAGCCTGAAAGGACAGGAGGGCCCAAATGGCATTTACAGGGAGAAGAGGCCAAGTGATTAAGAGCTATGGCTTCTACCCTGACCATGTCACCTGCAGGCCGTGTGACCCTGGGCATGGCGCTGAACTCTCCATGCCTCCACCTCCTCACCTGAGTGCAGGGATAACAATGTGCCTCCTCCCAGGCATTGGGAGCATCACAGGAGACAGCCTCGCACCCAGGAAGTACTTGAATGTTATTCACTAACAATCTCCTCAGAGTGAGCCTCACAGGGAAGCATCCCCAAACGAGGCAGGAGGAGTGTTAGGTCTTCAGGCTCTGGAGCAGACAACCCTCCCTCTGGGATCCGTGCCAAGGCCAAAAAAAACCCCACAAAAAACAAAGCCTCTAAACTCTAAAAATAGCTCAAAACAACCTTCTAGAGCAGTTAGTTGTGTGTGTGCTGTTGCTGTCCTCTGTGGGTAACGTGCGTGGTGTTCATGGATCAGCTCAGCCCGCCTCCTCACAGGGTCACCTCCAACTCTGCAGCCCAGCACGATTCCCCCACCCCGCTCTGAAGAACCACCAAGCAACTGTATTACTCACTTGGCATTCAGCACTTACTGCCATGCTTGTATCTCTGGATATGCCAAGATCTCAACTAGACTGCAAATTCAAGAGCACAGGCTACTTTCTTCCTTATAGTTCCCACACTGCCTGGCATTAGACCTTACCCCACAGTAGACAGTGACAGGTTCCCAGAACCACAGGACGGTGCCCTCAGTGAACTGCCCCAGCACGACAGCCTCCTTAATGTTCACCTATTTATCTAGTTGAGAGCCTCAGTCTCCTCTGGGCTCCCACTTACCTCATCCAGCTGTCTCTTCGTCTCTTCTTCCATCCTTCGAATGTCGTCCATAGTCAGGTCAACCCACTTATCGAGCCAACAGAACAGCTGCCTGTGGAAGTTTGTAAATAGACGCCTCTCTTGCTATAAAAAGGAGGGACTCAAGTTAGAACTCAGAAGTGAAGCCCACTGCTGTGGCCCTCCTCCCCATGATCTCCACACCCATGCCCACCTTTACTGGGAGGAGTGATGCCTGGCTGGCTTATCTGCACCAGCCCTCCAGTCCCACAGGTCAGTGACCTTTGCCTTCACATGTCTAACACGTATGGCTTCAAGTAGGAGGGAGCCCCCAGAAGAGGACGGGTGCCTACCTCACAGCTAGGCCCTGTGCCCAAAATGCTACCAAGACAGGCAGTCCGTGAGTTTACAGCTAAGCCAAAGGCCCAAAACAACTGTGTCAAGTTTCCTCCTTGTCTCTGGAGCCTACAGCCAGGTTAAAACTTGCCAGCAGCTGTGAAATGTGGCCCAAGAATGAGAAAAGAGAAAAGGCTATAAAAACTCCTGAGGTCTGCCCAGTTCAGTAATTCTGGGTACTGGAGAATTTGGCTTCCAGTGCCTCTTGCCTTTTGGCTTCAAGAAAAAAGAGATACTGAGTTTTGTCATTCAAGCATAGCAAGCCTCTTCCTGTTTCCGTCTTTTGCCTCAGTTTCCTTCCCTGTCACATGCAGTGCCCTGGGTCGACACCAGTTTAATGGATGGACAGCATTAAACTGCAAAGACAGTTAAGTGCAAGTGGAAGTGAGGGTCTGGGAAATCAAATTGAAATATTCTGATGTTGGCTACCCTAGGATACAAGTCACATGGGTTGTATGATCTTCTCTTGTTGGGCAAAACACCCCCCACCAACACACACACTGGGAAGGCCTCACCCTGGTCACTTACCTTATGTATAAAGTTTTCCACTTTGTTCTGCAGGCCCCACCACTTGAACTTGACGGTAACCAGTTTGTATGCACACATGTATGGGCAGTCTTTCTGATTTACAAGTTCTTGCTGTATTAGAAACACACCCACAGGTAGGCAGGTGACTAAGTGGGCAGACCTCTGGCTCTCCCTTAGCCTAGTCCCAACCATTCCCCTCCTCCATGAGGAGAGGTCCACCCACACAGTGCCCAGCCCCCTGGTGGTGAGGGTGTGAACTGCACCTTCCAATTGGGGCCCAGGGGTCCTCTGCCTGTTTTGATAGATTTAAATTTTGCTGGGTCTTCCTCTGCCTTGTAATCCTGAGAGAAGTTGTAGAATTGGAGTTGGAGGGAGGGGGGAAAGAGAGAGAGGAGGAGGGAAAGAAGGAGAAAGAGATCAGATTTTCCATCAGCATTACAGTTCATTCCATTCTTGATGCTGCTGGTGCACAGAAAATATGGGGAAATGTTAAACAAGATACAGAACAGTTTACATTTTCCTGAGAGGAGAGCTCTGTGTGATCTTCTCTGCCAGGTTTTGCTTTCAATTTTACCAGTATGAAAGTGACACCAGACTGCCTGAACAGGCACGTATTTCCACTGTTTCAGACAGGGATTTTCAACCTGGGGTGAGCATCCAAATCGCCAGGGAAGGCTTTTTCAAAATATGATTTCTGGGCCACTCCACCTAAATCCCAGTGAATAAGAATATCTGCTGGTGAAAGTAGCATGGATTTTTTTTTTAAACCTCTGCAGGTGATTCTAAAATGCAGCCAGAGCTGAGAACCAACTGGCTGCCATCATTCTTGAAATCTTCTAATCCCATCTCCCTCTGGCTTGTTTTTTGTTTTTAAACTGGCCTGTTTTAATAAAATCATTACTAGAAATGTTTGATGTATAGACTCTATCCTCTTGTGTACTACTGTCAGTCTCACCTCACTCATTTACCATGCAGTCGATGCTGTGTGTCAATTAACTGTAACAAAAGTTCAATCTCCGGCTGTTCCTCTGCATTCACTAATGTGGGCTCAGGAAAAGCAAACTCATTATAGCACCTACTTAACAAAACTAACGAAGATAACAATCACACACATACATGCACACACAGTCATAAAGTATTTCCCAAAGCTTAGGAGATTATGTGTACTTTAAAAAAATATATCTTCCTCACCTCTGCTTCTCTCCACTCACATGAAACAACTAGAGTTGACAAAATACTCAGAGAACCATACTCTTTGCTAGTATTTCTGTTTGATAAATACCTGGGACTGTTCAGTTTGAGGAAATTCATCAAGCTGCACACTTATGATATATTCACTTTGCTACATAATTTATACTTCAATAAAAAGTTTTTTGAAAAATCCACTGATCTTTTGAGGGTGGGGGTGAGGATATCAGGCAAGGAAGCACAAAATGGTTTTCATATCTTTTTGGAAATGCACAAATCAAAATATCTTAGGCACACAGAGGGACTCCAGGAAAGAGGCATGAGACCCCTGGATACAGAGAGCAAACACTTATTCTCCACCAAGGGGCAGAGAGCCACTGTCCTGTGCCCTGATCCCAATAGGCCTCTGTCAAAGAGGAAGAGTACTGAATGAGGGGGACCTAACCCTCTCCTTCCCTAAACAAATACTTCCTGGGAGCACAGCAGTGAGTCTTTGGACACGGTCCCTGCTCTCTCCCAGTCTGTGGTCTAGCAGCGGACTGTCCTTTCCAGGCGCCTGCTGCCATGTTTGCTACTCTGAGAAGCCATCACCAACTTCTTGAGGGCAGGCGACTTGCCTTTTCATATATTTTGTACCCCTTACCTGGAACCCAAAGAACAGAGTATTCCAAACATAACAGGCAGGCAATAAATGCTTTTTAATTACTGGGTTGGAAAAATAACCTGAGAACTAGTTTCAGGTTAAGTGTCATCTCAGCAGGGCAAATCACCCTCAGGACGACTGACAGCACCTACATTGTCCAGCAATAATTTCCAGAGGCCAAACAGGACACATACATCTGGGCCACTACGTTCCTGGTGGTATTCCCAAGTCAAGA